TATCACACACACATACAAATGCACACATCCTTGTTTTGTTTCTCCTACAAAATCAAAATATTCTATAGAGCCACTCACTTCATCGTTAGTCCGTGCTGGGCCTCTGCTGCAAATATTTGTGTAACATGTGGTGTGTGAACTTGTATAATATATTGTTGGGAACACGCTGTCTCTCTCTTAGCCGTCCATCCAAATTCAGCTGGAAAAAAGAGAGGGGGGTGGTGGAAGGAATGGAGAGGTGGACTTTATGGGTTGGACACCCCCTACGACATAAATCAGGGTGAGGATACATCCAAAGTGCACCCCACCAGCAAGCACAGCCTTTAAAATAACTTTAACCCAAGACAGCTAGACACAAACGTTTCTTATGGCACAGGCAGACTTGGAATCTTTTCCTGGAAAAAAAAAATGAAATAATTCAGCATTCCTTCTTTCCTTGCAAAATTACAAATTACTTTCCTCTCGAAAAAAATGCTACAGTTCCGACGTAGAGAGAAATGGAAGGAGGGCAGTTTTTAGAAAAAAAGGTTGCTAAGCCTGAGAAAGGCTCAGATAAGTTGTTTTTTTGGAGAGAAGGAGGAATTTCCTGACAGGGAGAACGATTAAGCAATGGAAGAGCTTGCCTCCTGGAGTTACGAACGCTTCCATTGCTGGAGGTTTTCCAGAAAAGATTGGTACCAACATTATCCAATAACATTTGCTGTTTGGGGCACGGGCTGGACTAGAAGACCTCCAAGGTCCCTTGAGCCTTAAGATTCTATGATTAATCTCCAGAGGTTGTGGGTGTTCCATCACTGGAGCTTTCGAAGAAGAGATTGGACAGTCGTTTGTCTGACATCGTTCTGACCTAAACCCTTTTCCAATAAAACAAACACGAACCAAAGGGAACAGAAACCTTTGAATGATTCTTATGAATCCCCAGTTAAAAGGCTGCTGCAAACTAATTAACTTTGATAAGCACGAGCCTTGGCAAAACTGTGCGAGGCCGCCCAAAATCACAGATAAGAAATATTTCACAACACAAGAGTCTTCAAATACCAACTTAAGATACTGCAAGGTCCACGAGGCTGAGTTTCAAAACGTCTTTGCTTCCTGCAAAGAATGTCCGATTCACAGCTGGCTTTTATCTTCTTGAAGGAGCGGCCATTACCTTGCAGCCTTACTCCCGAGTCGCCCATGCTGTTGTAGCTGCTCTTTCCTCCGAGCAATCCTGCGTGCACATGCGCTTGCACAGGCTCCTCGGGAACCTCCTCATCGCTGCTGCCAGCCCCTACAATCTCTCTTTTTTTTTTTGTAAATTTTATTTGAGTTTTCACAAAGAGAAAAAAAATACAAATAAAAGATCTTTTTTTTTGAAAGCAGCATAATCCCGGGTTACATTTCTTCGTACAGACACAAATTCAGGTTCATGTTCATTTTTATATTCTATTCCATATCTTATTACTATTTTACATTTCTGCATAGCTTCTCCTCTCTTTTAATTTTCTCAATTTTATTTTAATTATCTCATCTCTGTTCAAATCATTGTATTTATATTTTTTGTCTGTCCAGTTTCAATTATCTATTATCTTTTCTCATTAAACAAAATTTCTCCTGTAGTTACTGATTGGAGTATGACGCCTTTATATCTTTTCCCTAACTTCCATTCAGATTCTGCTTGGTACATTCTTAAAATACACACTGTATTCTTAAAAAAAGAAAAAAATTATAAATGTGTATAATTAAAACAACATTCCATTCCAAGTCAATTCTATCGTTAATATTAATATTCCCTTCCTAATTCAATTTTCTCATTTATTTTATTTCACTTATTTTATTCACAAACATTTCACTAAATTACACTATTTTATCCCTCATTTTAATCCTATGTTGTTTCCAATTTTCTAAAGTTATTTCTATTACTAATATAACAATACAATCTTATGTACCTTTACAGAATCCCTTTTTCAGTTAGATTTTCACCCATTATCTCTAAATAGGTCCTGTTTCTCTATATCTTGCTCTGGTCCTTTGTAACTTCTTTTCCTTTCCTTCTTCCCTCTCTTCTTCTCTCTCCCCTTTTTACCCCCTTGTCTCTCTACCTCTATTTCTCTCTTCTGTATTCCCCTTTTCTGTTGCTTTCCAGTATTATACTTATTTTTTGAATTATTTTTCTTTTCTTTGGTTGTTTTTTTAAGTCTTAAATTCTCCATTCTCTTCCCCCCTTTCTTTTTTCTTCCCCACATAAAATTGCTTGTTCACTAAAGATGGCTTCTTCTTTGTCCCAGTCTTCTTGTTTTGCAGTCTTTTCTTGTTGTTTCTCATACTTCCAAATCTCCATTTCTAAGAATTGAAAAACGAAGCCAAAAGAACCCTTCCTTTCTTGTGCATCTTCTTTGTACTTTTTAAGTTCCATTTTCAATTCATCCAGAAGTGGTGCCATTGTATAAATTTTTAAACAACCACCCGATTGATTTTATTCATTCAAATATAATAACCAAAAATCCAAAGATCACCAAATAATCCAAATACATGCAAACTGTTTCTTTTTTGCTCTTTTTTTTCCACTTTGTCTTCCTGGGGTTACTATTTAGTTGCAAAGTTTCAGTTAAAATGTATATTTTAGAAGTCTTGCTGAAGTTTTACTGTAGATTCTTTTAAAGTCCAGGCAGTCTCCCCCCTCTTCCAGATCCTGCCCTTATTCTTTTTCTCTCCCTTCCTGCTTATGAAAAAGAAAGTTTTTAATGTCCAGAAATCTTTATTATCCCTTTGGCATGTTGTTTTATTTTCAGTTTAATTGCCTACTGATGTCAAAGCGAATTTTTCTGATTTCTTATTTAAGTCTCTTAGCTGTCAGTATAGGGAAAGAGAGAGAAGAAGAAGAAAAAAAACCTTTCCCTTTTCACTTTCCTTCGCTGCTTCCGACACTTCTTTGGGAGTGATGTTATTTTTTGGAAGTTTAAATTTCAGGGTACCTTGGTTGTTGCTTTTACAATTTAACCCGGTCAGCCAAAACTTTCACTTCTTATTTTCCTCCTGCACATTCTTTTCCGGTCGAGTTCTCCTTTGTGGTGGCCATTTCTGACCACCACTGCAACCGCCTTCGGGAAAGGGAGTGATCGCCAGCTGAGCAGGAGGGATGTGGCTCTCCTCGACCCTGCTGGCGGTCTCCCCCATCTTCACCACCTCTACAGGGTGGCTTAGCCTGAAACCAGCCGGCTCAGGGCGCTCCAGCGGCGAACCCAGACAGAAACCATGCACGATCGCGGATTTCTGTCTGTCGCCGAAGCCCTTCAAACCGGAAGTCCTGCCAGCCCCTACAATCTCTGAAGGCAGCAGTCCACTCCCTAACGGTCCTGGGCCCTCATCTGAGTCCTCGGTCTCCTCAGCTGTCTGCACCTGCTGCCGGCTAACCACAACAGGCATGCTATAAGGTCTCCTACTTCAGCAGGGAGGGGGGTGGACTAGAAGACCTCCAAGGTCCCTTCCAACTCAAGTTATTCTGTTTTCTGTATCCCATGATTTTATGTTTTCCTCCTTATTTATTTTTTTTCCCTTCAGGGTGGGAAGCCCTGCTCTGATGTGCAGGGGGGGAGTTGTGCAATGAGGCTGCACAATGATGACAACATGATGCGCATTGGTACCTCATTGGTTGCATTGTGATGGGCAGGGGGCTTGCTTCTTCTTGGAGTTTTCCGCTGTTGGTGGGATGACCAAGGAAGGGAGAAACGGTGAAGAGACAGAGCTGGAAGAAACATTTTTGTGATTTATTTTTTAATGTCTTTTGTTTCTCTGACTTTCTGCAAATCTATATATCTATATAGATAAAAGTGAAATATACCCCTCACGCATCATCACAAAATCTCCAGAACCGTAAAGCCTACAAACTTGAAATTTGGCACGGATCTTCCTCTTGGCTTTTAGGGGCTCACTAAGGAAGGATTTTTCAGAACGACCCGTCAGAGTATTAATATTTCCTATATTACTATTATTAACACGCTCTGATGCTAAGGAATTCTACTCCCCCTCCCCACCTGAAAAAAAGAATTCTGTGCCAAATGCAAAACACAAGCAGAGGGGTTTCAATTTCAGAGCACCAAGCAGCTTTAGTACAGAACAGTTGAGCTAAGCCACGCCCAGGCTCCTTGCTGTCTCCTCCTTGCTCACACAGCAAATAGTGTTTCAGTTTCCAAATAGTCCTCAACTCTCACACACCGACAGGACGCTAGCCAGATGAATACCGATGGATGCTGGCAGGCAGAGGCAGAATCCCCCCCCCTTATTTTCCTTCCCCCAAAACTAAGCCCGACCACGTAGTTCCCTAGCGAAGCACACGGGTATCCAGCTAGCCTTCTACTAAATTTAGTTAAGTCTGCCTATAGAGTCCCATTAGTTCCCGGAGAACGCCCTTTTAAAATTGAAAAAAAAAAAAGAGACATTTTTCAGAGAAGCGGGCAAAGGGAGCTTTTGAAGTCTTACTGAATTACTGGTTTTTTTCTGGCAAGGGCAGCCATAGGAGACTGGTGGAGAAGGCGAAGGTCAAGTCTTGGGTGTCCTTCTGTTCCCTGGATTGAAAAATATGTTCCCTACTCTTGAATAAATCTTGAAAAATTCAACATTTGTTTGCGGAGGGGTCCTTGGCGCTCTCTGAGCTTGATGATATTTTTTGCAGATGTTTTTTGACTCAACTAGGGAACATCATCAGTGCTAGAAGGAAGTAGCATTTCCTTTCTGTTTATGAACCTCATTCCCTTCTAGCACTGATGATGTTACCTGGTTGGGTCATAAAACGTCTGCAATAAAACAAGCACGCTCAGAGAGCACCAAAGCCCCCCACAGTTTTTTTCCTCCTCCTCCTCCTCCTCCTCCTCCCCCCCCCCCCCCCTCCTCCCCCCCCCCCCCCCCCCCCCCCCCACCCCGCCCCCCCCTCCTCCCCCTCCTCCTCCTCCTCCTCCTCCTCCTCCTCCTCCCTCTTCCAACTCCATTCACGACTAGCACTGATGATATTCCCAAGTAGGGTCATGAAACGTCTGCAGGAAAACCGCCAAACTCAGAAGGCACCCAGGATCCCACAGTTCAACCCTGAGCTACCAGTATGGTCTCCTGTGGCTAAAGATCTGAGTTTCTTCCCGCCAAATATTAGGATGAACCAAGGTTTGAATTCTTCCAGCTGGCCTTCGCTGGAACCTCCACGCAACTGGTTCAACCCACACTTCTTCTTCTTCTTCTCCTTCTCCTTCTTCTTTTTAGGCACCCCTTGTTCCCTCTGCTTGCTCTGGTCTTTGAGAAATGTGAACTGGCCACTTGTTCTCCCAGAGACACGTCCGGTTCTTACCCAGCAGGAGACGTCTGTTCATCGGATTCCTTCAATGAGGACATCGCTGTCTTCGCCAAACAGGTTGGTTCCTGGAGAAAGGAGGGCATCCCAGAGAGGGAGGGATGATTGAGTGGGTCTTGGCAGGAGAAAAAAAATAATCAAACATACGTATAAATACATCTTCAACTTTAATCGCCCAGAAGAATATTTCTTAGCCTGCCCACTGGTGAGCTGTAAAGGATTTGTGGCCCACTTAGCGTTTTCTAAAAATGGCTCTTGGTTTGGTCTCCTTGGAAGCAGTTTTAAACTCATGACAAGATCACCCAGAGATGAACTCTTATACACCTGCGTTAAATTAAGGCCTTGGAATAAAATCTGAAAGAAAATTTTCTAAAAAAATCTTGGATAAAAATCTGTGGTACAAAGAAGTGGTGAGCTGTAATGTACTTCAGAAAATAAGGAATTTTGATTTGATGATAGATAGATGATAGATAGATAGATAGATAGACAGACAGATGATAGGTAGGTGGCTAGCTAGCTAGATAAATGATACATAGTAGATTGATCGATCGATAGCTAGATAGATCGATAGCTAGATAGATCGATAGCTAGCTAGCTAGATAGATAGATCAATAGCTAGATAGCTAGATAGATAGATAGATAGATAGATAGATAGATAGATAGATAGATAG